TATCGTCCTTGTGTCACTTAAGAAGGCTTGACTATTTCCATTCCATAAGAAGGAAGTGACATACTGGCAAAAAGCCTCAGATACTGCTGCAGACATTAGCCCCAAGAAAACCACTGAGTTTGTAAACTCTTCGCAGTGGGGTAGTTTAATACTGATACTTATTTTTGGGAAGACTGACATTTCCTCCTTGCAGTAAATGCTATGGTTTTTTTCTACTTGCTTCCTTGCATTTTAGATCGTTTGTTCCTCCATTTCCTGGGGTGTAGCCATTGCCACGTTGTTCAAGGAAGTAAGCCTGAATCAGACTCTCCTTATTTTAGTACACCCCAGTTAGAGATTCTAAAATCACTAGCTGTAAGCAGTATGTGGATTCTGCTTCTTTTTTTTTTTTTGGAACCAGGAATCAAACTCAGGACCCTGTGCTTGCCAGGCAGGTGCCATGCTACTGGGCTATGTATCTCCATCCCTTTCTTTAAACTAGTAGCTTTGTACATAATTTTACTTTGACAGGTTTTTCCTGAGTTAACCCCATTGTGAGCAGAAAGCTCCAACAATTTCCTTGTTATTTAGGTACGGTTGGCAGATATGCTGGGCTACTTTTCTTTTTCTTTCTTTTTTTTTTTTTTTTTTTTTGGTACCAGGGATCAAACTCACAACCTCATGCTTGCCAGGCAGGTGCTTATTCCACTGAGCTAAATCCCTGACAAGGGCTACTTATACTCCTTTCCACTGTTATCCACTTTAGCAGACATCACTAAGCCGTCTCTTTCTTAGTGACCCAGGTCTTTGAACAGGAGTAGGGCTCTAGCCATCTGCTTCGTTTTCCCACATCAAACATCACTAATCGTTGCATAGTTTTGTGTCTTATTTATAGCCACCAGTAACTTGACCAGGTACAACAGGAATTGGTAGTGAGTGTCCTTTCCCCTCCCCATTTTATTGAGGTATGATTAGCAAAAAAAATATTGTATGAATTTAAGGTGTACAGTGGATGTATGTATGCTGAAACAGTTACCACAGTCAAGTTTGCTAACCCCTGTCATCTCTTAGTTACCTTTTTTTGAGGCATGGTTCAGGCTGGCCTGAACTTGCAGCAGTACTCCTGCCTCAGCCTCCTGAGTGCTGGGATTACAGGCATGCGCTACCATGCCTGGCTCTCGTAGTTATCTTTTGTGTGTATGGTGGGAGCACTTAAGAGCTATTCAGTAAACTTCAAGTATGTAATACAGTATTGATAATTATAGTTCCATGCTGTACATTGAATCACGAGAATTTAATCATCTGATAACTGAAAACTTTTATTTTATGAAAAAACAAACTTTCTTTTCAATGAATTAAGCTAAACTATTAGTGTAAATTACACAAATTAGTATATGTATTGAAATATTTCTAAAACAATGGAATAGGGGCTGGGGATTTAGCTCAGTGGCATAAGCGCCTGCCTTGCAAGCAGGCAGTTGCGAGTTCGATCCCTGGTACCGATAAAAAGGAAAAAAAACAAACAAACAAAAAAAAAAACCCCAAACAAACAATGGAATATATAATTTGGGGAAGTATTTGAACTTTTCCTACTTCCTATTTATATCTTCCAGTTTGCGTTCTGCTTATGTGTATGTCTGTGTGTTTCATAGAAGAGAAACCAGGGAGTATTTGAGCTTATGTCTGATTTATTTCACTTAACCTTATGTTCTCAAGTTGCGGCCATTCACCTATGAGTACCTCAGCTTTGCCTTTTTTTTTAATGGCAGTGTAAGGCTGCATTGTATATAAACATCACATTTTCCTGGAAGGAACATGGACATACCACTAGAAAGGCTGAGAAGGCTTTGTGTGCTGTTTCCAATACTCCACAATTCTTTTTGTCTTTTTGAGACACAGTTTCACTATGTAGTTCAGACTGGCCTTGACTAACTTTGTAACTGACACTGGCCTCCAACTTGCAGCAATCCTCCTGCCTCAGCCTCCAAGTGCTGAGATTACAGGCATGTGCTGCCACGCCCGGTCCCAGTACTGCCAATTCTAAATTGTGCTGTTGTAAACACAGTTGTGCCTGTGTCCCTATAATATGATTTTAACTCTTTAGGCAAGATAGCTAGGAAGGAAGTTTCTGGGTCATGTGGAATTTCTACTTTAGTTTTTTGAGAAGTCCCCCAGATTTCCATAGTGGTTGTGCTAGTTTACATCCCTACCCGCAGTGTAATAAGGTTCCCTTTTCCACATATTCTCACCAACATTTGTTACTAGATTTTTTTGATGGTAGGCATTCTTTTTTGGGTAAGATGATACCTCACTGTAGTCTTAATTTTCATTTCTCTGAGGCTAGTGACGATTAACTTTTTAAAAATGTAGTTATTGGCCATGTCTGAGAAGGTTCAGTTCATTTTGATTACTCTTGCTTTGATTCTTTTATTATTTTAGGAGACATCTAAATTTTTTGAGTTCTTTATGTATTCTTGATATTAGTCCTCTTTCTATGGAATAGCTACCACTTTTTTTCCCCCATTCTGTAGATTGTCTGTTTACTTTGTTGGCTATTTTCTTTGCTGTGCAGAAGCATTTCATTTATTTACTTATTTTATTTATTTATTTATTGGTTCTAGGGATCAAACTCATGACCTCATGTTTGCCAGCCAGGCATTTAAGCCACTGAGCTAATTCCCTAGCCCAAAGAAGTATTTTAATTTGATATGATCCCATTTATTGATTCTCAGTATTATTTTTTGTGCCATTGGAGTTCTGTTCAGAAACTCTTTCCCTACATCTGTGTCTTCAAGAGTTGTCCCTGTTTTATCTTCCAGCAGATTAAATGCTTCTGTTTTAATATTTAGGTCTTCAATCCATTTTGGTTTTAGTTTAGTATATGGTAAAATAGACCCAGTCTTCTGCATGTGAATATCCAATTTTTCTAACACCATTTATTAGTCTCTCGTTCCTCCTGTGAACATTTTTGGCTCCTTTGTCAAAAATCCAATAGCTGTGTGTATCTGGAACTGTTTCTGCTTGTGTTGTGCTCTACTTACTCACATGTCTGCTTTTGTGCCAGTACCAGGCACAAAATCTCTGTAGCTTAGTAGGATAACTTCAAGTCTGTGATTGTGATGCTACCTTTTTTGCTTTTGTTACCCAGGACTGCTTTTACTATTCTAGGTTTCTTCTGATTCCATATAAATTTTAGGATTGTTTTCTCTAACTCTGAGAAGTGATGTTGGTATTGCATTAGATCCATGTGAGTTTTGAAGTATAGCCTTTTTATTGTTGATTCCCACCAGGAACAGGTATTATGTTTTCACTTTCTGATGTCTTCTTCAATTTCCTTTTTCAGTCTGATGCAGTTTTCATTGTAGAAGTCTTTTACTTCCTTAGTTTATTCCTAAGTATTTAATTTATTGTGAATAGTATAACTCAAAGCTCTTTTGGTCAGTCTCTTCATCACTTCCCCCATTCCTGACATCTACCATTCTACTGTCTATGATTTTTACTTTTTTGGATTCCACATTCAAGTGACATCTTGGAATATTTATCTATTTGGCTAATTTCACTTAGCAAAGGTTAATACATACTTTCACAAATGGCAGGATTTCTCTCTTTATGACTAAATAATATTCCCCCCCCTTTTTTTTGGTGGGGGGAACCAGGGATTGAATTCACAACCTGGCACTTACCAGGCAAGTGCTTAAGCCACTGAGCTAAATCCCCAGCCCTGAATAATATTCTTGTATATATGTGTGTCCTACTCTTCTCCATCTCTGCGTCCATGTCCAGGTGTATCCCCATCATATTTTCTTTATCTGCTGATCAACTGACAGATAAAGCAGTTAAGTTGTTTCCTTGTTTCGGCTCTGCTGTGAGATAATGCTTTCATTTCCTTTGGATATATACCCAGAAAAAGAATTGATGGATCCTGTGGAAGTTGTGATTTGATGTAATACAATTTGATTTAGGGCCTTGCTATTAATTTTTGAGAAATTTTTTTGCATACTTTTTTTTTTTTTTTGATGGTGGCTGAACTACACAGTAAAACTTTGTCTTTTGTTTTTATTTTTTGAGACAGGGTCCTACTATGTGCAGGCTAGCCTTCAAATCTCTGTGTAATTCAGGCTAGTCTTAAGCTTGCAGTGATCTTCCAGACTCTATTCCCGAGTGCTGGGGTTAGAGGTGTGGGCCACTTTTGATGAAGCTGTCCTACCAGGTGTGTGGCAGTAGCGCACTGTGGTTTTGACTTCCATTTCCCTGATGATGAGGGGTGTTGAGTACTTTCATGTACCTATTAGCTATTTTTCCACAGCAGGTTTTATAACTATCAGGCTATCGTTTGTAAAACATACTAGTAGCTCTTATTGAAAAGCAGATTGTTTGGTAGAATAGAGAATTCTACTATAACCCTGTCTGGGGAGGATGTCAGTCTCATTGCTTCTGTGGAAAAAATCCTTTAACGTAAAGATAGCTGTTTTTTCATACACTCATTTAGAAAATTTTTTTGGCTAAGCACGGTGACACACACTTGTAATCCCAGCATGTGGGAGGTTAAGGAGGTTAAGGCAGGAGGATTGTTTTGAGTGTGGGGACAGAGGGCCTATGTAGTAAGTTCAAGGCCAGCCTGATCTACATAGTGAAACCTTGTCTCAAATAACAAACATGCAAGCAAAAAACTGTTTTTGAAGATTTTAATGTGAAGACACAGGTAGGACTCTGGTATAATGAACCGTAAGTCTGCAGAAAGTCTGATAAACAGGATACTAGGTGAAACATACCGATTGAGGTGGGGAGGAGTGGTTAGAAGGGGAGGGAAAGTGGCTTCCGAGAGGAAATGTTGGAGCTGAGTGTTGAAAGCAGAGCCAGAGTTTCCCACCAGAAGAGGAAAAAAGAGAGGTTAGAGTTTACCTGATTGACACAAATTGTAAAAACCTTAAGGGTTAGGGTTAGATGGAATTTAAACTAAATTTTTGAGTAATATTATGTGTTTGTAGGCCTTTACTTTAAGCTCTTCTTCACTCTTCCAGGAACCCGAATCATTTATGATCGAAAGTTTCTGTTGGATCGTCGCAATTCTCCCATGGCTCAAACCCCGCCCTGCCATCTGCCCAATATCCCGGGAGTTACTAGCCCTGGCACCTTAATCGAAGACTCCAAAGTAGAAGTAAACAATTTGAACAACTTGAACAATCATGACAGGAAGCATGCAGTTGGTAAGGGGATGCTGGTCTTGGGAACAAAGAGGTGGCTCTGGGCATTCGAAACTCATTTTGCTGTATATGGAAAGATTACTGATACATTGCATATAACTGATGTCTAGGTTTATGTTTCTAAAGTTTTTCCTTTCTTCCTCAGAGGTTTACTGAAATACTTTAGGAGTCTTGAGTCCTAAAATATAATTAAATCTGGTTGGTAGGGGAAAACAGTCCAAATTCAGGGAATGATAAGTCCCAGTGGGGACCCTCAGAACTATACCTTGAGGACTGCCTGGCCTTTACTGGGCTAGGGATAACCACGCACATCCCCCATAGAAAACAAAGTGAATCTCACAGCTCACATTTCCACCACCCTCAGAAAATGGGTCTGTTTCCTTGCAAAGTGTTCTTGTGTGTGAAGATCACAGTATAGTTTGTTTCCCCTCTTTTCCAGAAGTACCTATAATATTTACATAGACATTTCTCTACTAGTGAGGCTTCTTGATCTCTGTGGAAGCAGAATGCTGGTGTGGAAATGCCTGCTCTTGAATATATCTCAGGGATTGCTCTTGGTGATCCCTAGGCATTAACCAGCATTCTATTTTCTTCCGTTCCAGTTGAGTTTTGGTTGTTTTGCTTTGTTTTGTTTGCCTACTGAAGCTTGAACCCAAGGCCTTAACAAATCCTAGGCACATACTCTACCAATGAACTACATCCCCAAACCTTTTTGAAACAGTTTTTTTTTTTAAATAGGACCTTGCTAACATGCTCAGGCTGGCCTTGAACTTGCTGTCCTCCTGCCTTGGCCTCCCATGAATCTGGGACCAGTCCAGTGTGTGAAGTGTGGGTTCAGAGGAGGGCCTGAGTCCAAGCCTGCAGAGCTTTGGTCAGCCTGGGAACAGGGACCCTGGGGCTCTGGGGAGGTGACGTGTGTCCTTTCCCAAGTGCTGTTCTCTGCAGGTGATGTGAGTGACATTATTTTTCAGATTAAAAAGATCAGCAAAAAAACAAAAACTGTTCTAAGGCAGCAGAGAATGAGAGAGATGATTTTTTTTTTTTTTTTTTTTACCATTCTGTATATGGAATGATACTTTAAATGTTTTACTTTTCCTTTTTGTGTTAACCCTCATTTTCTTTTTCCTAAACAGGAGATGATTCTCAGTTTGAGATGGACATCTGACCTTCTGCAAGAGTGGCAGGAAAGCAGCAACCCAGATACTTGTGTGGACCTGATGAAGCCAACAGGACCAACAGTGGAAAGACAGAGGCAGACCCAGCAGCCCCATTGCCATCCCCACCTCCCTTCTTCCGCGGGTGCCAAATGCTAAGACGATGAGCTGCATCTGGCTGTTTCTTCTCATGTTTCCTGTGCCCTGCCCAGCAAGACAGATTAGTTTGAAGGCTGTAGAGGCACTTCTGTAGAGCTAAGCTGTCCATTGAGGAAAACAGTTAAACTGCCTTCCCCGTCTCATCTCAACTGAGAATCTCCCTTCCTCAAGTTTATCTCAAATCCAGTATCAGTCTACCAGCAACTACCTGCCTGGAATGTCTGGGGAAGGGGTACAGAAGTTTGGCAGGCTCACCATTCATGTTCTTTATACTGTCTCTCTTCCTTGTATTCCACCCCTTGTTCAGTGCTGGGTTCAGGGTCTTTGAAAACCAGCAGGTGGAAATGGTAAATAAAAAGAAAGCTGCTTTCCTTTTTACCTTGAGGTATTTGTGCTTAGGGACAGAGCAGCACAATTTACGCAACTCTGGTAGCATTGCTTTGTGGCACCGTTTGGAAGTCTGCATCCCCTCTTTCTCCTGGGAGGAATGTCTTCTGTCTTTGGTATTGTAGTTTCTCTTCCCATTCCTTTACTCGGCACATTTGTACAGATATTTCTAAACTCCGCCCTCAGTAAGTGGCTGATCTTTGTTCTTCTACCTTCTCTGCTTGCATCTTGTTGCTGCAGAGTCCTCTTGTATACTAGGAGCTATCCAGGTGATTTTGTCTGCCCCCAGAGCAGGGCAATAGGATGTAACAGGCATTTTGCCTTCCACTTGATAGGTAAAGTCTGCTTCCAAATTCTGCCAGACAATACCAGTCACAGTCAGTTTTAAAAATCCATTGAACGTTGTGCTATTTGTTGTTGTGGCTTGCAGTTTCTTATATTTTGAATTTAAAGTTGACTTTTAGAAATGTTCTTAGAAAAGCACTAGATTTTTTACCTATTTGAATCTGCTTTGTTTGACTACCAGGATAGATAAGCATGGATTTAAAAGTGTTCCTCCCAGGTTTCATGTCATTCCCACTGTTCTCTGAATTCTCCCCTTCCTTTCTTCCCTCCTTCCTTCTCTCGCCCTCCCTATCCTCTGCCAGGCCATTTTTCAGATCTACATCAAAGATACCCCAAGTGTTGGTATCTGATAATATCTGTCACTTATCTCAACAGTGACATTTTATTTTTAAGATGACTACAGACCTATTTTTAGATATGCTTTCAATACAGTTTTGAACAGCAACTTTTTAACTAAACACCTTCCAGTGTTGGGAAGGTAAGAGATTTCCATGGCCGAGTCCACTGTTTGATGTCACTGTCCTCTGTGCTCCCGTGCCTTCCCTTCCAGCTTCCTTCTGAGCTCTTTCCTTTCCCTTTGAGTTTTGGATGTGTGTGTGTGTGTTTGGAGTTTGTACCGAGTGGTTTGTAAAACTGGACCATTCTGCCTTGCTGGGGTTGTTCAGGAAAACCTCATTCTTACCTTTTCGCTCTTCCGTTTGCCCTTCTGCCCACCCCTCCTGCTACTGCTGATCGGCATGGTAACCTCAGGAGAGGGCCCTGTAGAAAGACAGACACTGTCCCCTCGGGGGAAGACAAGTAGAGCAGTCACTGGCGTCCTGGAAATTTCTGATTGGATTCTTGTTAAGAGTCCAAGGTGAGAGTAATAGGCCCAGTGGCTAAGAAATTAGAACAAAAGCTGTTTTTCTTTTGAATTATGAGAAGAACCTATTTGCAAAGACATTTTAGAAAGAGAAGATGTTGGCAGAACTTTTTTATCTTTTGCTACAAAATGTGAATAGTTCAGAGTGAAAAACCTCGTGATAGTTGATGTCTCAGGAATAAGCTGGATCTCCAATGTTTTGGGGGTGCTTTGAGTCTCACAATCAGTAATCAAAATATTTTGATGTGTTCTTGTGTTAATTAAACTTCAAATTTTGCTTTACATAGTCTTGTAAAAATGTAAGTTGTGCTGTCATTTACCTGAGAAGCTTGCTCAGACCTTTGTAATCTGGAGTTTGGTTCTTCGGGAGTGAAGTTTCTCTTTCTTTGTAAGCTGGCAGTGGCATCCTGTGGAATCTGACTCCCAGCTAGCAGCTGGCGGGCTGGCAGTGAGCGGCAGAGTACTCTTCTCAGTGTTCGCTGCTTGCTGTCTGTAAAAACGTGGCTTCCTCGCGACGTACAATGAGTAGAGTTGGAGTAGCAGCAAGGTACCATTTCCCCCTCTCTTGCCATGTCTGACCCAGGCTGTGTTTCTAATATTTCTTGGGAGTGTTGACTGCATATTGCACGAGCTGTCCAAACTCTGTCCAGACTCTGCCATGACTTTCTTACTGCTTAGTGCAGTTCTTTCCTAGAGGCCACCTTGTCCTCAGTAAATCAGCATTGTAAAAATAATTGCACAACACAGAGATAAGCTTGCAGCAGGTGACACCTTTATGTTATGCCTCATAGAATGGTTTTCAGAGCAAGCCAGATTCTGGTAGGTGGTTTATGTTGGGGTGTTTAGTGAGAACCTCACAGGTGAAGCCCTGCGTGAGTAACATATCCTGGCTTTTTCTTAGGGTGGGAGTACCTCCCTCTGTCTGAGGTTACCATCTGAGTGAGACAGTTCTTAAAATCTTAGTGATCATGAAGTTTTCATGAAGCAAGTATATTCTGTACTTCTGTGTATAATCAGTCTTAAAGAGAAATTACCTCCCTCCAGATCGCAGTAGGTGTGTGATGTCATGGCTCTGCCTTCTTTTTTTTTTTTTTTCTTTTTTTTTCTTTTTTTCTTTTTATCGGTACCGGCGATCGAACTCACAACCGCCTGCTTACAAGGCAGGTGCTTATGCCGCTGAGCTAAATCCCCAGCCCCAGCTCTGCCTTCTTTACAGTGTCGTTCATTGAGTTCCTTGTCTCTCATGTTCTATTCAAATATGTATCTCAGTAAGAGCACAGGAATAGAGAAGCTGCCTTTTAGGAGTTGGGCTTCCAAGCCAGAGAATTTTCCATTTGTAGTAGTTATCTATTGCTATGTAACAAATTACCTCCAAATTTAGTATCTTAAAATAGCAAAAACAGTATCTTGCAGTTTCTGAAGGGTAGATGGAGAGCAGCTTTGGAGGATGGTTCTAGCCTGGGGTTTCATGAATTTTCAAGATGAAGGCACTGGCTGTTGTCATCTGGAGCTAGAGAATCTATTTCCAAACTCCCTCCGTGGCTACTGGCAGGGTGCCTCAGGTTCTTCCCTGTAGATCTCACCTCTGGCCGCATGAGTGTCCTCACCATGGTAGTTGGCTTTCTCCTGAGGGACTGACCCCCAAGAAGGAGGCAGACAAGGAGAAAGTCACAGTGCCTTAAAACCACCACACTCCCAAAAGAGGATGAAAACTGGTCAAAAGGAAGGTAGATGCAACTAAATGATAAACTGAAAGATAAATTGCTATTAAAATCAATTGCCCAAGATGTGTATCCTCAAACTGTAAGGAGACAAACTTTCTCCCTTTCCTTAAAGCTGCCGGATAATCTCAAGAGAGACAAGAAACCAGTGTTCCAGAGTAGCTGTAGTAGCTGTCCACCCACCTGACTCTGAGCAGGTCAAGGGTTTGCAAAGTAGCACCTGGGTCTTTCCTAGACTCATTTACAGTTACTCTTCTTTGGCCAGAAATAGGCAGAGAAAGGGAACTGGGGCCTTCCAGTTGAGCCACCAGAGCAGTCTTAATTGAAGGGGAACAAAGAAGACGTAGGAATAGGTTATTGAGCTGCAGAAGAAAAGAAAAAAAAAAAAAAAAAAGCAAATAGTTCAAATAGCTGGTGTCAGGAAACCAGGTCCCCACCTGAGTCACCCGTGCTCTCTGCTGCACCATCTTACGGACTTGGTCAGTCAGTTGCCAAGAAACAGCTTCTCCATAAGCTCGGGAACACTTGATGGTAAATGTCTGTCATGCTGATTGCCTGTTGTGTCCTGCTGATTGCAGTTCAACTCTGCCTGACTGTTTTTCTGTTGTTTTTTTTTTTTTTTGGTCTTTTTGAGACAGGGTTTCACTATGCAGTTCAGCCTGGCCTTGAGCTCACTTTGTAGCCCAGGCTGGTCTCGACCTTGAACAATCCTGCTTCAGCCTCCTGAATGCTGGGGTTACAGGCATTATAGGCATGTGCCACTACTCCCAGCTGTGGCCTGGGTTTCTTGGTGGAAATGCTTTCTTAAAGAGAACCAAGAGAAACTTAGGTTGCCTCTCAGTTCAACACATTCTTAGTGGATGCCTGCTGTGTCTGGCATTCATTCCTACACAATCTTGAGCAATTTTAGGGTATCTGAAAGATGGTAATTCTTGTTTGATTTTATCATCTGCCCCTCCTAGCATTTTCTTCTCTGTAGCCTGTAGCATGTACTTGAATGAAAACACCCCTGCTGCAGCCGTCAGAAGGGAAGGTGCTCCTTCTGGAAGTAGAGTGCTATCTCTAAAGTACCTTCCAGTGAACTTTGGTTTTCCTCTTGACTTGAGATGGAGTTAAAATCAGTGCTCTTTTATATTGTTGGTGTTTTTATTGTTGTTTGAGCTGTTGGCCCTTTGAGTCACTTGGACCTGGCCTTCCCAATTCAGACATTGAAGTCCACATGTCCATCAGAATGCAGCGAGGCCCAGTTCACATCACAGCCAGTGTACAGGCTGCCAGCTTTGAGTGGAGGAAGCTGGTACAAGGAAGGCTCACCATGTTGGCAGCAGTGTCCCAGGGGTGCAGTCTCTCCTCTGCATCTCTGGTACCAGGTGCTTGGAGCCAGGTCCCTGAGCCCTTTACATTCACCTCGAGGGAGGAGAGCCTGCTGTCTGTCTGATTCTTAACTGTTTCTTCTCAGCATGTTTTCTGGACTACATGCACATGAGTAGCTATTAAGATGCGAGGCCCAATCACTTGCCCATCCTTAACATCTGGGAGAGGGTATTATTTGTTGTAAAAGTTTTGTGAAGGCATCCTCTTTCTGAACTTTGAGAAGGGAATCATCACTTCTTACCTTTCGGTAAAGGATGAAATCAGCTCTTTTGCCCTAGGATGAAAGCCAGGGCCTCAGGTATGCTAAGCGGACGCGGTACCGCTGAACTGTATCCCCAGACCTCGAAATCAGATCCTGCTGCAGGTCTGTCACCAGCCTTTAGAATGCTTACACTCCAAGCGCACTTTCCATTCCAGGACTTGTTCACCATTTCAGTGCAGTTTCCTTGAGGCTTGTTCACAGCAGTTTCTAACTGAAGACCAAAAGAGTGATTGATAGATGCTCATTTTTTCCATTAACCGTTCACAATACTTATCCCCCCTCCAGAATTTAGACTGTTTTCCAGATGGCCCTGGAAGCTGATATTTTTTTGGCAAAGCTTAGATTTTGAAGTCTTGAGTCTGCTTGTTAACCTCTGCCTGCAGCCCTCTTAGACTGTACCGGATATCAGAGATGCCTGTGGGAAGGGTGCTGAGCAGAGATGCTTCCCAGGGTTTATTTAAATGCTTACTCTGCCACCCGGCAGAGAGGCGATGCAGTGCTTGGTCCTCACTTGGCCATGTTGAGCCCTTGGCAGTGGTTAAAACTAAACTTCTCGTATACTTCAAACAGAATTCCATGTGTCCAGCACAGAAGATCCATTCTTGTCACAATGTTCCTCTTTCCTCTCCATCTTAGTCTTTAAAAAGCAAAACCCCAAGCCCAGGCCAAGGGGCACTGTCACTGGGACGCAGGGGAGGGGCCGTGGGGAGCCTCCTGCTCCTCCCTGCACGGAGTCACAAGTCCCTCAGCAGTGCCTTTGTGTCACCTGCAGATGAGCCCATCTCTGTCCACTTGGGGGAGAAGGCCTCAGCCCCCAGGCACACCTTAAACAGGCGCCTTGAAGAGCTCAAGGACACCCATGTGTGCATTTTAAGCATCGTTTTAAAAACATTTTATATTAAAAAGCCCTCCCTGTCTAGTGCCACCAACTCCCACGCCGAATGGGAAAGTGGAGACTGCCAGCACTTTGTGCGGGCTTGCCCTCATCTCCCTGATGTGCTGTCCCTTCAACCCGTCGTGTGTTCTGTCACCAGTGGGTGGGGGAAGGCATATGCAGTCTTGTGTGATCCCATGACCAGTTTTGTTTTTTAATTGTCTTTCCAAACCAGCAGGTATTTGGAAATTAGAAAAAAATTAAGTTCTCACCAATGGTTGCTGTTAACAGTTAATAAAAGATTTGAATATCAACTTGGCCTCTTTCTGTTTTGTGGTGTTGGGAAAGAACTCAGCATCCGTACTCTCAAGCCACACCCCCAGCCTCAGCTTGTTAGTGGAGGCAGGGAGCTCTCGCTATGTAGTGCAAGCCTGGTATTTTTTTAATTTAAAGTTCCAAATGAACTCTTTCACATTTCACATTTGGGGCCACCTGACCGGTGGCTTATTGGACACCTATTGTGTCATCTTAAACTGGGCTGTGCCTCGTGGGTGTCAGATTTCTGGTCATGAATCTAGCATTTGAGGCGTTAGTACTGAGATCTTGTTCTGGGGTGTGGACAGAGGCCTTCAGAGGAACTGGCATGTAAGTACTCCCATCGGGACAGTGCAGAGGTGCGGACCTGGCTTTGGAGTCAGCACCAGTCATGTCACTTAGGAGCTGGTTTCCTATAGGATTCTTAGGTCACTGAGCCTCCGTTTTAGCAAAGCTGGGGCTAATAACTTATAAGCTGTCATGAGACTTAGGGACTGTTCAGTGCCTTGTATGGGAAAAGTTCAGAGAACTTAAGCCCTGCCTGCTGGCATGGGAAGCCTGCTCCCTGCTTCTAGTGGTGCTGCAGCCAGCACCCAAGCAGTACTAGGAGTACCAAAGGGTTTCAGGAGAGATGGCTCCAAAATTACCTGGAAAGCCCTTTCCTACATCCAGTACCCTGTCCCAAAGCTAATTAGGAAGAGGGATAAAAATGGAGGCTCTTCAAGATGAAGATAAACGATGGATTATTTACTGAGGATCACTGGGATTTCTCTTTGTCTCTGTCTCTGTCTCATTGCTCAGGTTAAGTTCAGATTTGTGATCCTCCTGCCTCAGCCTCCCAGAGTACTGGAATTAAGTCATGTGCCTCCAATGCCCAGCACAGCTTCTTACAATGTCTTTCCCCACTCCCAGCAGGCCCACCCACTTCCCCAGTAATGCCACCAATTTTTCCCACTCAACTTCTAACTTGACTGCTCTAGGAACAGTAGCTCTTTGCTCTGAAATCAAATTAAAATAACTTCTGTGCCAGCCACAAGGTCAGATGGGGCCATGCCGAGGCAGTTACTTCTGCCGACTTGCAAAACCAGCCAGCTCATTGCTCAGAACAGGGAGCTGCTTGCTAGGATGGAGTAGATGGACTTTGCTACACATACCGGGCAGCAGCTGGTACAGTCCAGCTGCTGGTACGGCAAGTAGTTTTCAGGAGGGTTAGCAACACATGGAGCTGTCCGCTTTGTGCCTCTTGTGCTTGACATGAGGCAAGGCCTTCCTGCTAGTGGGGTCGCTCTGTTCTGAGTCAGCAGGGCAGCTAACTATAAACACTCCAAAAAGCCACAGCTGCAAATAGGGTGACCTTTCACTGTGCTGGCCCCAGCCATAGAGAACAGTTTTTATTGCCAGGAACTTCATGGTGGTGGAAGGATTTGAATGTCTAGCTCTAAAGGCTGCAGCTTGATCCAAAGCTGGATGAGCAAACACCTGTGGATGCTGTTCAGGATGATGTTCCTAGGACTCAGAAATTATCAGAGCTCAGCCCTGGGCTGGGGCTGGTAGGCCTCTGCAGTCTCCTTGAGGAAAAGGAATGCAAAAGCTGACCTAAGCTGCCCGCACTGTTCTTACGCACACTCACATGCGAAATCCTGTTGTTCTGAAGTGTGCCTAGCACTTTCTTTCCTGTCCAGGAAATGAGCAGCTCAATCTGCTTTGCCCAGGCCCAGCTCTAGCAAACCCAGTACCTGCATGGGCCACGAGCAGCACTTTGACAGCGGAAGCTGCGCTGAGTCCCCCTCAGCTCGCAAGTCCCACACAACTAGGATCATTCTAAGGGGTGGGCCACCTGGGAAACTTGGATAGATAGCAAGCTGTCACATGGATTAGCGTTCTCCATAAAATGGCCTGCTCACTCCAAACAAAAACAGCCTTGCCTTGGTAGTGCCCAACACAGTAAAGCTGGTCAGAGAAAAGTGTCACCTTTGGGGCTCCCACATTCAGAAGGTGAAAGCTGGTGCTCAAATCCGTGGTGGCATTTTCCTATGGAAAAGCTTGGGCTCCTTTTTATTTCCTGCCACATGGGATCTGGGATTAGGCATTTTAGGATCCAGTGTTAAGAAAAAACAATTTAGACAAAAGGATATAGTTAGGCGTGGTGATGCATGTCTAGAATCCCAGTGCTCAAGAGGCTGAGGCAGAAGGATTGCAGTGAAATAAAATTTACTTTAAAAAAAAAAAAAAAAGGGATATAGCAGAAACTGGGTTTAGCAGGCCTTACCAGTTTTAGGGAGATTGGGAATAAGGCTCTGAAGACAATCTATGGTTCTGGTTTTTTGTTTGTTTTTTGAGATAGTCTTGCTATGTAGTTCAGGCTGGCCTTGAATTCACTCTGGCTCAGGCTGGCTTTAAACTCGGCAATCCTCCACCCTCTGCCTTGAGTGCCAGAACCACAGGTGTGGGCCCCCATGCCTTGCAGCTCATGAGCATTACCAACAGACTTGTTTCCCAAAATACTGGGAATAGAACCTAGAAGCTCCTCAGTGCTACACAGACACTGTACAGCCGAGCTATATCCTCAGCCCCAGAGCTATTTTGTATGAACACATGTACTATCAAGACCCCTGCTGGAGAGGAACCTTGAGGCCCTCATCAATAGCACACTTTGAGACTCGAGTCAATTGTCACCATGTTTTTAATAGATTTGGGTTGTGTCTGCCAAGCAGACTGACTTGGGGACATCGGAAGGCCCCAGCAAATGTAGTCCAGTGTGGCCAGTCCTCTTGGAGAAGTTCTCTCTGGGAGATCTAGACAATGACTTTATATATTTATGTGACTCATTAGCAGAGACCCCTCCTGGGAGCCTCTGGCCAGGGACGGCAGATTGCCACTAGCCAGCAAAAAAGATGTGGGGGCCTTGGTTAACCCATCCCCAGCAACAACAGCCAAATAAGTAGGTTTTGATCTCACACAATGATGCTTACATTTAGGAAGGAGACAGCGAGTCCACTGTGGACCACTTTTAAGAATATACAAAAGCTAGATGGCTTTGCCCCACCTCAGAAGTAAATGCACATATGCCCCAACTTTGCACACAATTTCAAGTTAAAAACAATTAGAAAAAAAATCAGGTAAAGAACTCTTGCACTTGTGCTTTTGCTCGCCACCATCTTCAGTGAGGGGAAGCTCACGCGCGAGACCCCTCCCACCCGTTCTTCTGGAGAAGGGCTTGGTGGACCCAGCAGAGCGGGCAGCCCTTCCTCTTTGGCCCTGGCATGCAGAGCCACTTCCCTCTGTTTCTCCTCCCTGGGTAGATGCTGCTGTGTCTCCTGGGAGCTTCCCAAACTAGGAGTGCAGGCAAATCTGGTCTTCTGCCGGGCTCCGTCAGAGGCAGCCACACTCCTCCACGATCATGTCTTTGTGGTGCTCCAGGAGCACCCTGCCATTGTCCACATACAACATGCTCAGAGGCTTGGTCTTCACTGGTGCGCAGCACGTGGAAGGGACACGGTGGGGCTGGTAGCGTTTCAGCAGACTCTGTAAAGGGGAGGCAGGAGATAAAGAGATATATCATCATTTCCAACAAAGACAAGAACTTTTACTGTGCTGCCTCTAAACCGGAGATTTTTTTAAAAATTTACTTGTGAGCTGGAGGTGTGGCTCCATGGCAGAGCACTTGCCTGGGGTGGGTGAGGTCCTGCACCCTAAAGAGAAGTCATAGGGCATAGTGACAAATACCTGTAAACCCAGGAACTAAGATAAGAGAATAGAAGTTCAAGGCCAGCCTGAGCAACTGAGTCCCTATCTCAAAAAGTGAAAAGATTCAGGGATACTCAGTGGTAGCCTATCCCCAAGTTCAGTCCTTAGTACTGGAATAAAGAAGAGTTGTGCACGTTTGGGGAGAACAGTAGTTAATTTATGTGTCCATCCTTCTGTTCTAGTGTAGAGTGAATAGCAGCTTTAAATGATTCCAAGAAACTCCTAGTTTAGTTCTAGATATGTACAGTAGAACAGAGGGCCAGGTAGAAATTCTTGCAGGATGTGCTTTGTTGGCCACAGAAGAGCAGAATGAACAAAAAAAAAGGCTAATACCCATTGCCATTTGGTTAACAGCCTCCTCCCTGCGGCCTAGCGAGTCTTGTCAGATCAGAGTCAGACTGGAGACTGGACAGTCTGGTCTGATGGTTCCCGTGGCTGTGCCAAGGTGGGTGGGTGGGGTGACGGGTCCTACATAGCTGCAGGAAGGCTTTTCCCAGCATAGCTCTCCCAGCCTGCAGTGGTTCCCCTGCTTATACACCCCAGATCCCTGAAATGACGGGAGGCTTGGCACAGAGGAAGGACTGCAGGTCCCAGAGATTTTGCTCCAGGTTTTATGGAGCAGAATGAAAACACTCTGGTCCCATGTGACCTTTAAGAGCAGGGCAAGGCCCCTCTAACATCAAAGCCACTATGTTAGGCTCTAAGCTCCCTCCAACATATTCCCCTTCCTGGCTCTCAAGCCTGTTCTCTCCCTCTACCACCTGTTAGAGCAGTGGTGGTGAACCCGTGCGTGGCAGGCGGGCCAGCGCCAGCTGTTCATTGTCACTGCAAGCTCTTAACAGTTTGTCATCACTGCCATGGACTATTCAATGGCACCTGACAGCAGCCCCTGGCCTTTCGCCTATGAAATGGGCAGTCAGCTACAAGTTTAGGTCGTGAAGTACATTGGCTAAAACAGTATCACTGGGCTGGGATGTAGCTCAGCAGCATTAGCACCTGCCCGACAAGTGCAAGGTCCTGAGAGTTCAATTCCCAATACAAAAAAAAAAAAAACACCCCACAACAACAAACCCACTATTATTGCAATTGTAGCCTGATGAACACAACCCCCACTTTATTGGTGAATCACAGATCCAAGTAATGTTAAAACAACATCAGACCCACCTGCTGCCTGCCCCCTACTATAGGCTGCTTGCTTACTATCTCATGGACCCTACAGCGTCCCTTCTCATTTCACAGGCAGGAAAATTGAAGCCTGAGAGAATAAAGCAATTTAAAATCATGCAGCTAACTAATAGAAATCAAACTATGCCTGTGCATCTTTTTTTTTTTTTTTAAACCGGTACCAGGGATCGATCTCATGACTACCTGCTTGCAAGGCAGGTGCTTATGCCACTGAGCTAAATCCCCAGCCCCTGCCTGTGCATCTTAAAGTCCAGATTTTAACTTCCTTTCCTAGAAAGTTATGGCTAGAGAAGAGCTGAGAACCTCTAATTCTATCCACAGGCCCTTAGGAGGCTGAGGCTGGATGATCATGAGTTTGAGACCAGCCCAAGCTACCTGATGAGTTTAAAGGGCAGCATACATAGTGAGACCATGTCTCCAAAACAAAACAAAACAAAACAAAACAAAACAAAAAAAACCACAAGGGAAAATCCCGGGGAGGCAATGTGTTCAAGGCATAAAGCAAGCATTCATTAAAACACAGCGATGGCTAGGTGGGCATGGTGGTACACAACTGTAATCCTAGCAATTGGGAGGCTGAGGCAGGAGGACGGTTGCAAATTCAAGACCAGCTTGGGCTACAAAGAGAGCTCAATCCCAGACTAAACCGTAACAAGACCCTGTCTCAAAAAGAAGAAGACAAAAACAAAAACAAAAAGACACTGTGATGGGTCATCTCCATGTCCTCCTGAGACCTCACACAGATGTGGCATATTGTAGGTCCTGTGGCTTAAGCCCCCCCAACCCACCCCCAGCCTTGGTGCCCCACCTGGATGTATGCGTGGTTGGTGGGGTGGAACTCCTCGCCCACAGGGTTGGGACACTCGCCCTCGCAGCGGTAGGCGTTGTACTGCTTGGGGTAGATGATCCAGGAGCCCCATCCAATCAGGTTGAAGTCAACCTGGAACTTGACCCTGCGACACAGCTGGCTTCTGTCCGGCAAGTGATGCCGACGGTGCCTGCTGGCCCTCTCCTGGGACAGCTGTCCCTCCTGGGCCCTCCAGGAGCTCTCTGCTTCCCACAGTAAAGTGGCACCACCCAGCCGTCTCCGCTCCTTGGACAGGTTGGAGTAGAGGATGAGGAACACATCCGTGACGGAGACGGTGACAGGTAGGCTGGGGGAGCGCGGCCAGCACTCTCTGGCCACTCTGGACATCTGCCTTTCCAGTGCTCCAGGGTCCTTCAGCCATCTGGAGAGTGGCTTGGTCACTTCCAGGACCATGCTGCCTGATGAAAAGGAAACCTGGGAGAGTGTGACAGTGAACAGCTCCATGTGAAGACGCTCGAGGCAGGCGGCTGGGTGCTGCTCTGTGTTTGGCTTGGGCTGGTGGAAAATCTGAATAGTGAGCAGGCCCTCTGCAGGGAGGTCCACGGGGTTGGCCAGCTGCAGCCGAAGCTCAGCCCATGCCAGATCCTCTTGTTGGCTCAGGAAAGAGAAGTCAAAAGCAAACGTCCAATTCTGCCCATCCATCTCTACACCTAGGGGAAACAAAACCAGGAAGGAAGCAGGGTGAGAACAGCTCCCTGCTTGGTCACCCATCAATCACCTCAGCTCAGGTTGCAGCCTGTACTCTGTATCAATCATTTTCATCCTTACCTCCTCTGAGGAGTCAATAGCATCATGAGCCCATTTTAGAGATGAGGAAAATTGAGGCTCAGACAGGTTGAGGGACATCCCCCAAAATATCCATCTTGTAAAGTGACAGAGCCAAGAGTAAAATTATGTTTCTCCTATTTCAACCTCCCAGAGTGCTGAGGTTACAGGTGTCCACCACATGCCCAACTAAATTTTAAATTTTATCAAATTCTATCTTCTCTGCAGTAGGAATAATAGTGCACTGGCTGTCCCTACTTATCACAGGGACCCAGGGCCATAAAGATGTTTGAAGGTTTACTGCTAAATAAAAATCAGGGATTTTTCATTAGAGGGAATCTAACCTACTTGTGAGTTGAGCTTGACAGTGAATTTCTCTGGGAAATCCAGCCTGTATTATAAAGGATAAGAACCACCACCACCTTCCCCCAGCCTCCAGCTGCTTCTCTCAGCCTATCTCCAACTGTCCTTTTTCACTTAATTTCCACTTCCCTCCTCATTAGCACCTGCAGGGGGCCATAACTAGCCCCTGGCTAGCAACTCTCCCCAGAGGTGTGGGGAGGACCCCTATAGCTTGCATTCCCGTCATTCCCCCTGATGCACAACCTGGCCATTTGGGGGTTAGGTGGAACACTGTGGCAACTCCTGGCCACCTGTACTCACAAGTCTGTGACTTAAAAATATTTTATCTCAAGTGCATGCAAATGGCCTTCTAGAGGAAGGCACTTTATCTTATACTGGAGATTGAACCCAGAACCTTTACACTCAGCTACTCCCCAGCTCATTTTTTAATTTTGACTCAGGAATCAATATTTTGACTTGCTGAATCAATAAATTGCCCAAGCTGGGCTTGAATTTGCATCCCTTCTGCCTCAGCCTCCCAGAGTGCTGGGATTACAGCTCAAGAGGATGGTCTCTCTGAGTAACAGTTAAGAGCAGGGGGCCTCAAAGCTCTCCCTGATTTGCCAATTACTGAGACTGATCAAGTTCCTTTGACTTGTGCCTCAGTTTCCCTCCTTGTAAAAGGAGGCAGATGGTAACAGTGTACACACCTCACTGGGGTATCACGAACTGACACGCTGCCCAAAGATGAATCAATGTTGTCCATCTTCCTCCTCCTCACTATTGGCTAGTCCCAAAAGTTAGCACCAAGGGTCTGGCCAGGCAGTGAGAGCCCTGGACAGCAGCACACAACTATCTGCAAGGCACAGGCAGTGTGCAGTGGCGCAGCCCGCTCAGAGCCTCCCAGATTTGGCTTTGGTCCACTTCAGTTAGAATGGGGGTTCCTAAAGTTGCAGCAGTCACCAACATCAGATACATGGAAAAAACTCATCTACCCAACTAACACAACAAATGCAAATGTGGTGGGGAGGGAGAAGGGGTCCACGGACACCCTGAAGCCCACCCATGAGATGGATTTGGGCTTGGACACAGGGCCCAGGGACACCTTAACCACCTCCAATTCCAAAGGCAAAAGTTGAGACTTGGGACATTGGGCTCCCCGCCACCTGCGGAGGTGAACCTCCACCAAAAAGTGTCAGGAGCTAATTACTATTAGCTGCTTCTCACGTGACAAGTGTTGCTTGTGCCGGCCTCCTTGAAGGCTCCCCAGGGGTATCACAGTTTGCAGATGAGGAAAAGGAAGGATCAAGGTGAAATTAAACCGTGGCCCAGATGCAAACTCAACCTGGCTGGACCAGTTCCCAGGTCGAGGTCTCCCTGAAGTCCACCCTAGAGAGAATGGGTGGGCTCAGGCCGCCTTCTCAGCCTCCTTCGCAGCAGGCGCCTCTCCCTGCTCTCACAAAATAAGAGCAATTCACAACACTTCAAGGTGGCCGGGACGGTAAACACTGTTATGCCTACTTACACACATAAAAGCCAGAAGAGCGTGGTCCCCTGATTTATTAAAGAAAAGCCAGACAGGTGAGGTGAAATGGTCACACAAGGAATCCGGGCGCAGGGTTTGAGGGACCGTAACCAGTTTTCCAAGATTCCCCAGTCCCTAGGATCACTGCACAAACCTTCAAGAACGTTCCTGAAGGAAGCGAACTGGAAAGTGGTGCCCTTCCCCCCTTCCACACCCCACCACCCGCAGCGCTCTGGTCTGCAGCCAGAGAGGCGGAGCCGAGCGCGCCAACACATTTCCCAATGCACAGTCTTCCAGGATGTCCAGTCCGGACGGTCCCCAGATGACCCTGTCGGAGAAGGTCAGCGACCGGCTCCCTCGAGGCCGTCCGGGAAGCTAGTTGTCCCCACCCCACCCCCGGCCTCGAGGGGCTGCAGGCGGCAGGTCAGATCACCGCAGCGGATGTGGATTGCGCCGCCCCGGGGAGGGCCGTCTGGCCCCCACAGGCCGAGGGAGGCGCGGCCCGCAGCGGCCGCCCAGGTGGCTGGATGTGGATTGCGCCAGGAAAAGGGACCCCAGGCTTGTGATGCTCCACACCACCCGCCCGCCGCGCCCGGTGCCCAGAACGCGCCGCCTGGTCCTCGGAGTCACACACCCTCAGGTCACTTTGCTCCCCAAAACACACCCTCCCTGTCCCTGTCCACATGGAGGCCCCGAACTCAACACTTCCCTTACGAGGCCCCGAGGCATCCTCAGTTCTCGAACTCAGAATCCCCTGCGCACGTCTTGGGTCTGCGCGCCCTCATCCCTACTGTTGCAATCCTTAGCCTTAGCCCCCGACGCCAGATCCCGGGGTCCACGCACCCTCCATCGCAATTAGGAAAAGGAAGTTCGACGAGACAAAACAATCATAGCCATCATGCCTTTTAATTAGAACTCCGCAGGTTTCCGTGCGGGGTTTACTGAGCGCGGTCACCTGGGCCTCTCCTGTCTTTTTATAAGGAAGGTGACGTTACCCGTTCTCCCGGTGCGCGAACCGAGCGCCCAGGTACACAGCTAAGTCTGCCGAAGCAGCCTGGCGCGATCGGACCCCACGCATCTCTCCCCACCCTGGAGACGGGGTCCCCGTGGGGTGCCCTCCCACGGCGCCCCGCCCCGTGCCTGCTCACTCGCAGACGCCTGGGGGGCCTGACCCTGTATGCGCGCTGTGAACCCACGACCCAGGCGTCCCCGGGGCACCGATCCGCAGCCGGCGCACTTGCGCAGTCCGGTGCCGGGAGCGGGCGCCACCTACCTTGAGCCTGCAGGCTGCGGATGATGTCGGCCCGGGGCAGCGGGTCGCGGTAGAGGCTCAGCATGTACGCCAGAGGGGACGGCGACGAGGGCTGCCCTTGAGCCCACAAGGGGACGGTGGCCACCGTCGCGGTGCACGCCTGGAGCAGGGCCCACCCCGCGTACAGGAGGGCCGGGAGGCGGTGGGTGCGCATGATGGGCTAAGTGGACCGGGAGCAGCGCCTCCGCCCCTTATATTCAGGGCAGCCGCCCCGCCCCCGCCCTCCCGGGGAGCTTAAGAGGCTATGACTCCCCCCTCCCCACGTCGCCCTGGAGGTTGCAGAGGCGCAGAAGGGACCCCCTCCCCTCCTCGAGCGAGCGCGACATCTGACTGGAAGACCTCGATGGGAAGGTGTGCCCAGATGCAGGGACGGGTCTGGGCCTCTGGATTGCAGGTCTGGGCGCCCTGGCACCCTGCTCCTCTAAACAGGGACTTGTTTTAGGGACACAGCAGGTTGCTCTGCCTCACTGGGCCCCCTTCTTCCCCTTCATATGGGGGGCTCATCAAAAGACGCGTAAGGCTTTGGGGCGAACCTTGGCTCTCAGGTCAGCGGCGTGGGTGTCGCCGCTGTGCGCTTTGTACTCGGAAGCATCACTGGCCTTAGGTACTCGCTGCAACCCAGGTGAGCTCCGCAGGAAAGTCCACGGGGAGGATGCCGGCTCCAAATACGCAAGTGCTGTCCCGGGGAAATAGGCACCCCGAGAAACTTCTCCTTTTGAAAGGGGAGTGAGTAGCAAAAGCTGGAGCCCGGGGTGTAGCCGGCTAGGAGGGGTTGGGGGACAGGAGAAGGGTGTTGATCCTGGGAGCAGCAGGCTGTGTCCTCAACCTAGGCCACATCCTGCGATTCCTGTCTGCGTTGGGAGAATCAGGGACACCTGGGTTCAGCTCAGACTCTCTCCCTGCGCTCCTTAAAGGCCCGAGTGATCTCCTACAACGCTTCCTCCCTAGGGAAGGTCAGGGCTAGAATTACCTTTAAAGAAATGTAAATGTCTCCCCAAAGTCTGGCCCCTCTGTTTTCCAATGCTGGCTGGCTTTCTTCTATCTCCACCCGCCTTCTCCTTTTCTGTCCTTGACTGGCCCATTAACGGCTGGCTAACATTTACTAAACAGTTACTACATGCAGGGCCCAGTGCTAAGTGCTTTACAATGCCTCCGCTCTTTCACAAGATGCCTCCAGCTAGAAAGAACCACCGGCTCAGAACTGACCAGGTGTTAGAAAGTAGAAGGAAACTGGGGCTTGTGTCCTCTGGGAGGGGCTGTCTGACCCAGCAGGAAGGGGCCTTGCCCAAGAGAGGGCTCAGGTCCAGCTGGATCCCTGTTCCTGCCTTAGAGCCACAACTATCTTGTTCATGGTGCCCTCCACAGTAGGTCATGGTCAGGACCCAAATCTGAGTCAAGTCCACGAATCAGTGCATGGCACGGTTTTCAGACCTACCAGAGGATAGATAAGCATCTTCTGGTATGCTTTTAAAACTATTGATTCCTGAGTCTTAGCCAGACTTTCAGAATGAGAATTTTTAGAGAGGGTGTGGTAATCTATCTACATATTTAGCAGGCGCTCCAGGAAGGCTTTTCACAAGACTTTGGAAACTTAAGTGGGCTCTGTAAGATTCTACTTGCAGTTTGAAACCTGCCTCTAAATTTATTTTCCACCTATGTAAAACTGAGCTGGAGATAATCTCCCATATAGATTAAATAAAATGAATGTAAACACATTTTGCAAGCTCTAGAACCTCACATAATTATAAAGGTTTATATGTAGCGGTATTATTATTAGAGTCTTGTGGTTTCTACTGCTCCAGCCCCCTCCCCAGAGGCAGCAGGCATCCCCAACATGTGCATGCGAAGGACAGTGGTCAACGCTGTGGGGCCCTCCCTCCTGCACAGCAAAAATACAGCGAGTTACCAAGGAGAAGACAGAGTCCGTTCCAAAGATCCCAAATGTCCTAGAAGACAGGCAGTCCCTCTAGGAACACAAACAATCAGCATAGCAACACACACACACACACACACACACACAAAGATAATAACACTAGCTTATATTGGAGAGTGACTACATCAGGGTTATCATCAACTCCGTTTCAGAAATGAGTAGAGGGAAGTGCAGAAGGAACAAGATAACTTGCTTGGGTCACAAATACACCAGAGGAAACGGCCAGTACGCGAAGGGCCTATCTGCTTGTCACTATGCTTTGGCCCCTACTGCTTTCCCATATAAGAAGGGGGCCGTGGACTATGATTTTTTTTTTTTAAAGTTCTCAGAGTCTTGTGTTTCTCAGGTTTTCCAGGGTCAGCTGCTGCAGACAAAACTTGCTTCTGATGTGTATTGGCCTAGAGCCTGGCGAAGGCCTGGGATTTCTCTGTGACTGGCAAGAGAGACTGGGCTATTTGGCAATGCTCATCCGTCTCTGAACTCATCCATCTCAGAACCCTGCAGAAGAACCAAAGGTCTGGAGCCTCTTCAAGACAGAGGCTGTCATCCTTCTCATTTTAAGGGTCATGAGTTAGTCCAGGGTCTACTTCCTGGGTCCTTTTCCCAGGTGGGGAATGACACTTTCATACTTCCTCTGCCCCAGACAAACTGACCCACAGATCACCTGACCTGGGAGATAACCTTTGAGGCCACTGCAGCCGGCTGGAGGGTGGACAAAGTCCCTTGAAGTTCTCAGTGTTTTCCGTTGGGCTGCTGGGGACCATGGCTGAGTGCTTGGGTTCTGAACTCGGGCCTCTGAGAGATGGGGTCTGGATCCCTCTTTCTCCCTTACTGGTACATTAGGATACACGAGGTCAGTCACTGCCTGAAAGTTTCTCCTAAGGCTGAAAGCCGAGATAGACAACAACATCTAATGACCGGGAGTGCATAAACAGTAATGTGTGTGTAAAGATCAGATTTCAGGCAGACTAGGGATGCAGCTCTTGCTTACATGCATGAGTACCTGGGTTTGATTCCCCACAAGGTAGAGAAATAAAAGCATGTTGGATGTATCATTTGTTCATTCGTTCATTCACAGAACAAACCTGCTCTTGCAGTGAATCTCTGGCACACTCACTCAGGCTAGGCTGCAGTAATGGTGAACCTATGGCACGCCGTGAAGTGTTTGTATTACTGAAACTTCTAAAAGGTTCGCCAGTACTGGCCCAGGGTCTCAGGGAATCAAGGACATATGTTTCATGAGCATTTCCTATCTGCCAGGTTGGACACTGACTGCCTTCACATGCAGTTGGCCCTCTTATTTCTAAGCGTTCTGCATGTGTGGGTTTAGCCAGCCTTGGCTAGAACCCATTCAGGATTGGGGACATTGGGTCTGTCCTGAACATTTTGTGTCATTATTCCCTAAGCAATAGGGAGTAACAACTATCTACCCAGCATTTACATTGCATTAGGTGGGCAACCCCCTGGGCACCCCTTCTGTCTCTCTCAGGCAGAAGCTTTCTTTCCTTCAATAAATATATTCTGCTTAACCTCTGTTGTTCCTAAAATTCATTCAATTTTAGATAGAGGACATATACGGGACATCTAGTAGGTTGAGAGTTTCTTTCCCCTGTATCAGTTGGAGGTCTTACACCGAGATCAGATGGAGGTAAGAGTTTGTTTTTGTTTCATAGACTCTGACTGGGATTCATTCAGGTAACAAATTTTTATGTTTCAAATTTTGCTTTGTTCCCAGCACCTGGGAGGCTGAGGCAGGAGGATCACTGTGAGTTCGAGACCAGCCTGGGTTGCAAAGTGAGCTCAAGGCCAGCCTGAACTGCATAGCGAGACCCTGTCTCAAAAAGACGAAAAAAAAATTTTTTTTTTGCTTTGTCTTTGCTGGTTGCTTATGATTACTTGTGATAACTGCTGGTGATTTGTCTTTGCCTATTGTTTAGAATTGCCTTGTCTCTTGTATAGTTTTATTGCAATAATGATAAGTCTAAATTAAAACACAGCAAGATTATAAGGTCATGCTATTTCTTTAAAGGGACACTTTAATCTGATTTTGTTCTTGCACATGTGTTTGAATTGTTACTAACTTTACTGGTACTCCTTACTTTATTTAGACAATATTGCTGGAGAGAGTAATGTTAGTACACTGTATGAAGTGTTATAAGTAGTCCAGAAATACCTTAACGTGAACAGGGGGCGGTATATAGGTTGTACTCAAACACTGCCATTTTGTGTAAGACTTAAGCATCTGCAGAGTTTGGTACCTGCAGGGGCTCCTGGAACCCATCCCCATGGATGCTCAAGAATAGCTATGTGTCAACCACATGGAAGCCACAGAGGAAGAGTTAAATAGCAATGGTTTTGTACGGTGGATGAGGACGTCTGCCTCAACCCATCCCCCCAGTGATGGCACAGCTCCCAGTACACAGGAACTGAAGTGTTTGCCCGGTGATGGAACACTCTCGCCCTTCACGATTTCTACTGATTCTGCTGTACTTTCCAGGAAAACTCCTATGAATCTGGCAACACAATTTAAAGTCTCCTCTTCTACAAGCCCCTATTCCCAGTGTCATGTCTCATCTCTAGTATGTAAATGTCCTTTCCAGACATCAAGAAGTCACAGGTGGGGCTTTTCAGAGGTGACTGGATCTAGAGTGTGTGGTGCTGGGATTAAGCATGTGATGCTGGCAACATGGGTGTGTGATTACTAAAAGGAGTCCACTGATGGGTTTGGGGTGGTTCTGGGTAGGATTAAGGGTGCCTCTTCCTGGGTGTGAGTGCTACCCGGCCTAAAGGTAAGACGCCTAGATAGAATATAAGGGACAGAGAGAGGGCAAGTATAGTCACTTGATGCTTGCTGCTTTTGCCTGCTTCTCCTCTGTGATACCCCCTGCAATGCCACCCTGCCTTGGATGCCACCCAGCCAATGATGGACTAAAACCTCTACAAACTGTGAGCTGAAACAAAACCTTTTTTCCTTTAACTTTGGGTGTTGGGAATTTTGTCTCAGCAACAAGAAAATTTACTAAGACACCTATTTGGCAAAGTCTTCTTTCTATGTTAAACAGCATGGAGCAAGTGTCCAAAGTCCCTTTGGTGACAGCCACCAAACAGGCTCGCATGGCTCTCTGTGATCTGGACGCAGAGATGGGACCCAATCTCCCCCCAGGTCCTCTGTGTCTCAAGTGTGCTCTAGCTCCACAGGAACGCTGCCCTTCCCTGCAGTTCAAAGCTGTTCTTCCTTTGCTGTGAATGACTCTGCCCCTTATTATCCGCAGAGTCCAGCTCAAGGGTCTCCTTCCCTTTGCAATTCCCTCCTTCAAGCTCTGAGCCCAGTCCTTCGTTTATGGGCTGAGGTCCTTGAGCCCCACTAGGAGCAGCCAGTGCCTGGTTTGCTCTGTTTCTACAAAAATGTTGTACAAAGGGCTGAGCATTCAGAAAATGGAGCTGCAGACTGTGCCTGCAGCTGGCCTTGACTGATAGCAGTATTTTGTCTGCTCCAGCCATGTTTTTAAAAGTTCTTATTAAATTGTCAACAACAAAAATTCTTGAGATTTCACACAACAGAGATTTTATTGGGGTAGGGGGACACTGCTTTACTGGAGAAATGGAAAATTCCAGCTCCTCATTTCAATATGGTGAACGTTCTCTAAAGCCAACCAGTCACCACCTTCTTGGGTGTCATAGTCTCCACTGCTTCTTAACTTATCACACCTACTCGCCTGGCCCTAAAACAGGTGAGTTTGGAGTTGTAGAATACATTGGATGACGAGAGATACCCAGGAATCAGGCAGTGCGGACTTGGGCATGCATGGAAACAACCCAACTTGTCAGGCAAGCCGCCCCAGGAGGGTGCCAGAGAAGCACTCTCATTTCCTAAAGGCACAGCACGGTGTGCTTGCGTGGTTATCACCCTGCCCCTCCATCAGCTCCATGAAGGACGCTGGTTTCTACTTCCCTGTTACAAATGAGGAAGCGGAGGTGGAGAGGGTCAACACCCTGCCCCGCAGCTGAACACTCAGCAGCAGGGGGTAATACGCAAAGGGATCTAGGTCATCCGGGACTGGACACCCAGCCTGGATGTTGTCATGGGCACACACAGTACCTTCCTTGCACAGAGCTCTTTTTTTTTTTTTTTTTTTTTTTTTTTTATCGGTACCGGAGATCAAACTCATGACTGCCTGCTTGCAAGGCAGGCATTTATGCCACTGAGCTAAATCCCCAGCCCCTACACAGAGAGCTCTTGACCAATCATCCTACTGAAACTGCCCTCCTCCTCTGCTTATTCTTTCCCTCTGGCTTTCCATAGTCAGAAATTAACTTTTGTGTGTGTGTGTGTGTGTGTGTGTGTGTGTGTCTTTTTGAGACAGGGTCTCACTCACTATGCAGTTCAGGCTGGCCTTGAACTCACTTCGTAGCACAGACTGGTCTCAAACTTGCAATGATCCTTCCGCCTCAGCCTCCCAAGGCCTAGCCTCACAAGTGTGTGCCAACATGCCTGGCTAGAATCAACTTTCTGTTTTCTGAATACTGTTTTTTTTTTTGAGACAGGGTCTTGCTACATAGTTCAGGCTGTCCTCAAACTTATGACCGTACTGTGTCAGCCACTCAAACTCTGGGACTGTGCTGTGTGCCACTGTGCTTAACTGTGGTCATTTTCTATCTGTCCCTGGATTCTAAGCTAGATTTCCAGTGTGTTCAGTTTATCAACAGAACCCCAGGTCTTCTTTGGTACTGGGCCTTCTCACTAAGCTACATCCCCAAATTTTTTTTAAATTTTTGAGGCAGAAACTCACTAAGATACTAAGTTGCCCAGGTTAGGCTCAAACTTGCTTTCCTCCTGCCTCCCTCTACTAGAAGTCTGGGATCACAGGTGTGCCCAACCACACCCAGCTTAGCACGATTCTTGACACATACAAGCACCCAGTGTGTCAAGTGAATCATGTAACCCAGTGCTGCACTAGGGGACACAGAGGTGAGGACAGGGAAGGCTTGGCTGGTCCAGTGGCCGCCAGAAGGAGATAGTCTCCAGGTCACCACCTCCATCTGGATTTAGGATCCTCATTTCATGTCCCTGAGCTGATGTCTTGCCGCACCAGTGTCTCCACACCAGCTCCTGCACCCAGCATTGCTGACACCATGCTCCTCCTTCCGTCCTGTGGCCTGTGGCCTGAGCTGGGCTGGTGCCACCCTGGGATCCATCCAGCTCTAGGGCCAGGCTTTCTGGTCTCTGGAGCTCAGGCTCCTCTGGCTTGTGGTCCCCTCCTAGGGGGAGCCCAGCCTAGATTCCTGCTTCCCACAGGGTCAGGAGGTGAGGGCCTGGGAACCCCGAGGAATAGGAGGGTTTTGTGAAACAAACAAAGAGACCACCAGCAGCACGCCTCTCCTCCCACCCTGGAAGCTGCTCAGAGGTTCCCACAGCCCAGCCAGCCACCCCTGCCTCTGCTTCCCACCACCCCTCCGCCCCTTGGGGGGTCACTGCACTGAGACTGAGCAGCAGTTTTGATGACCCAGCTCTGTGTGTTTGTTGTGTGTATTTGTTGTGTGCACACTTACTCCTAATGAAGGGATCCTGTTGTAGTCAGGGGTTGCGAGGAGAACAATTACATACAGGACGTACAATTTATAGTACTATTTACAATGGTCACTCAAGGAGTGAGATACACAGAAGGTACAGGAAACCTGTCCACAGCACTAAAGACCTAGAAAATCTAGCCTTTTAAAGGCCTGGATCCCATGGCAAAAACGTACAAGTTCAGCTGAAAACCCGAAGCCCACAACAATGACTCATGCAGTGTATCCCACAGATCTGTGCTGGAAAGGCCCAAAGGTCAGTGGTGGAAGCCAGAAAGTCTATACCAGCAGGGTGAAGGAGCTGTGCCAGCGGCCAGAGGGTTCCGTACTGGAGCCAAGAAGTGATGTCAAAATAAGGACCAGGGCTCCCCTGAAAAGTACCACTGCCATCCTCAGTGACAACGAGGTCCCAAAGCTCCTCCAATGATGTGAACTGCTAAGTACATATCAGGAAGCCAGTGTGACAAGCTTCTCCTGGAGATTGAATAGCACACATCTTCCACTCTGGAAGAAAGAACTGATGCTCCAAGTAAGGACCAGAGCCCCCCCAGAGTGAATGGCAGCCATTCTCAGCGACAAGGTCCTGAGCGTCTCCGATGATAATAGTCAAGTTCGTATCAGGGGAGCCAGCACGACAAGCTCCTCCAGGAGAACCACTGGCTCCAAACAACACCACTCAGGAGAACCCACAGTGCCACTCTTCCTCTCCAGGTCTCCTTTCTATGCTGGTAACAGTCCTCAGGTGAGCCATCCGCACTCAGCACCATGCTGATTCAGTTCAGCTGGTGTCTAAGTTGGCCACCAGTTACCAGTCCACTACAGATCCTAAAGTCATAATGCACTTCTTTTAATGTGCTTTTAATCTTTAGTAACTTCAAAAGTATTGGTCGTGGTTGCATACACCTGTAATTCCAGCATTTGTGAGGCTGAGGCAGGAGGATCGTCATAGGTTTGAGGCCAGCCTGGGCTACAAAGTGAGTTCAATCCCAGCCTGAATTACAGAGCAAAATCCTATCTCAGAAAACCAAAACAAGCTGGGCATGGCACATACCTGTAATCCCAGCATTGAGGAGGCTGAAGCAGTGGCACCACTGTGAGTTGAAGGCCAGCCTGCACTACATAGTGAGACCCTATCACAAAAACAAACAAACAAAAACTTCAAAAGTATAAATGATAGAAGCTTACCCAGCCATCCTTTAATAATTTTTAATTTAAATTTATTTTATGCCTATTCATTATTGTTATTATCACTCATCTTGTTGGTATTAGGTACTGAACCTGAGATCTTTATGCTGAACTATATCCCCAGTCTATTTTTATTTTGAGACAATATCTTACTAAATCACTGAGTTGCCCAATAGGATTTGAATTTGCTGTCTTTTTGCTTCAGCTTCTCAGAGAATACCAACATGTGCCATGCCTGGTTTAGCTTTATGATTTTTGAATAATTCATTTCAGTTTATTTTTATTTCAGTTAACATTGAGTATCTTCAAAAAGCATTTAGAGGCAGAGCGTGGTGGCACCTACCTGTAATCCCAGCACTTGGGAGGCTGAGGCAAGAGGATTGCTGCAAGTTTGAGGCCAGCCTGGGCTACAAAGTGAGTTCAAAGCCAGCCTGAACTGCATAGTGAGACTCTGTCTCAAAAAGACCAAAAAAAAAAAAGCAGCCTAGTGATAGAGCGCTGGCCTATCATGCATAAGGCTGAGGCTCCTCATGCCAAACACTAAAGTTTCAAGAGTGATAAATGTGCTTATTATCTTGAGCGCCATGATAGTTGTGAACATATGCCAAAACTTAGCAAAACACACATTTTAAAATTCACAGCTGGACGTTGTTATCCTTTTCCAAATCTGTGACAACGAGTGAGTTTAGATGTAATAACCCCCTTTGTCTCTTTGGTGGTGCTGGGGATCAAATCCAGAGCCTTTTATATCCTAGGCAAGTTCTCTGCTACTGAGAAATGGCCCCTCTTAAATAAACATCTAAAATGTAAATGTTATTATTCAAAATTCATAAAACTAATAAGGGCAAAGAACTTTCAAAAATTAAACTCTGATGTTCTTTCTCTTTAAACTTAAAAGTCCTCTAAGTCTTTAGGGTTAGCAAAGCCTGGGTTGGCAATCCTTACCCCTCCAGGAAGTCCCATTAGGTAAGATGGGACACAGACCATAATCTCTTCTGTCTCCAGGATGCTGACATCTGAGAGGTAGATGTGTCTGTTATTCTCTTTCTAAGATGGAGAATTGAAGGCGTCTAAGCTAAAGGTCACACAATTGATAGCAGTGGTGAGGCTGGGGCCGGCCCAGCAGTCTGACTCCAAAGCCTACACTTGGGGTGACTCAGGAGGGGTGGAGCCACTTGCACCTCATCCTGCCCAATCCTGTGGCAGGATCTCCCCCACCGCACCC